CAGCCTACAGTTCTGGGATTATAGGCATGTGCCTCTATTCCTGGCTCCCAGGTGAGTATTTTTAATTCTTAACAAGTAGAATTTGGGTTAAATAATGTTGCTAGTTCTCATTTCAGGTTCTCAGCACCATATATAGAACATCTTTAAAATTATTTTTTAATCATTCAAGCAATATAACTATTTGACTCTGAATAAAAATCATTTATGAACCCAAAAGCAATTGCAATTTTTAGCAGTCTTTCCCTCCAAAAAATAAATGAGTCTTGAAATGCAATGGAAACAGGAACACATGATTCTGTGTAGTTTTCAGCAGACAAATTATATTGCTATCAAAAAGAGCTAAGGATCTTGTCAAATTGTTTCATTGCTATTTTAATAACAATAATTACAAAAGCAAATCCTAACACTGTATATAAAATTCTACCTATATATTGATTCCACAGTCCAAAAGAGGAAAAAGGCAAAAGCCACAAAGTAAAACTTAGCCTGCTCCAATATTTTAGATAAAGATGAAGAATAAGGACAGAAGAAAGCAAGCTCTCCTTCTGTACATTCTATGAAAAACAATACATCAAATCCTAGAGCCTCAGATAGTGTCTGTATATCTAGCTCCAACTACTTGTATATTATGGGTATATTACTTACTCCTGCACCCCCTTTGCACAGATTGTTTTGCAGATAAAATGAGTTATGCATGTAGTATTTTTTTAAGTTCCTTAAAAGGAACTCATATTTTCATTGTTACTGCAACCACATGCTAACTTAAGGAGTTGAATCTTGCACAACAGAATCCCTTTGGATCCTCAGCACTTGACAGCGACTCTGATAATTCCACAGAGGAATGAAAGTGGTTTAAATTCTCCTTCAACTTGTAGGCAGTTGAGAAGGAGGGCAAAGTCAAACCCTGGAACTACTGACCCCAGATTCGGTCATTCACCACTAACTAAATCTGTTTTTCTGCTGCCTATTTCCTATTGACAAAATGTCTTTCCATGTAGAGACAAAAGTGTTATTCATGCTGAATATTTATGAGTGCCAGCAAAGTTAAGAAAAATGAAATACTCAGAGGAAACTTTAAAATAAAACCAGCTCATGAAAGTTCAGCACTAACAGCTACTAGTCCCTTAAGAATGAATTCGTCTTTAAAAAAAAAACACTAAGTTTATATCTGCCTAGAGATGACATTCTGGGAGAGTGATGTTGACCAAAGCTGGAGTGGGAGCTGTGGCTACAAATGCTGAGTGAAGGCTACCAAGAACATAGCAGATAAATCTATAAACATGCTACAAGGACACTCTCAAGCTGGTGTCACAGAACTTAAATATACTGTCATATTTTTAAGCAGCAAAGACATGATGTAACCAAATTACAACTGAACAGGAAAAATTGGTGGAGTGGTTTTCTGTAAATAGTATCTTGGAGCAAGGACTACTGTTACAATTACTAGTATGTGAGCCCTTTTGAATTCTTTATTCACAACATGTATACCACTACTTGTAGCTTACCCTAAATCTAGATGAGGAATAACAAATAGGTTTTGTTTTATGTGCAAATTTCACTTCAGCAATAGAGGCTGTGTTAGGAAGGACTATTGAGGTTATATAGAAAGGAGTATAGGCAAATCCCACCCTATATGAAGGACAAGGGGCATGAAGCTCCAGAAAGATGCACCTGCAGCTAGAATGGTTCTCAACTGTGGTCAGCTTAGCTCCTAGCAATGTCTATAGACATTTCTAAATGTCTCAACCCAAATTGAGGGCACTACTACTGTTGGTGGCCAGGGATGATGTCAAACAGTCTATAGCCTTTCCTTGCCCCAAACATCTGGGCCAGAATATCAATAATCCTAAAAACATGAATCATAGTCTAGCCTTATCTACCCTATAGTTAGTACATGGATCCAGGTTTTTAGTCAAACCATGAGTTTTTCTTCAGGCAGTTTTCCTAACATACCTCTCCTAGTGCCACAGCAGTTCTAGGTCACATGATCGATGTGGTACACCTAGGGAGTCAACCTCATTACACAGATCACATGTCTCTCCCTAACTCTGTCTGTGATCTTGGACATACATTTCATTCCTTAAAGTTTTGGTTTCTTCATCTATAAGAGGGAATACCAGACAAAGAACAAAACTTCCAGGAAATCTGTAAATAGACTAAAAGGATGAAATCTCACGTTCATAATAAAAGCAATACCAGTTGTAGGAAATATTGAATAAGGTATCAATGAGATATGGATATCCCACTCAACAAAGTATTTCTTTAGTTTGACAAATGTTAATCTGCCAGCTTAGAGTTTCTAGCTGTGCCTGAAATTAAAATTGTATAATACTTAATTGTTTTCCATTGGTGCCCTCGTCTTTAGGTTAAGTTGCTTTGGAATCTCTCACAGTATCTTTAACTCCTAGATCATCTCCATTACACAGCCTGCTCTTGGCTTCTTCCAACCATCTACATTCTGTGTGTGTGTGTGTGTGTGTGTGTGTGTGTGTGTGTGTGTCTTTTAATCTTTAAGTAGTTGTACAAAGAAGTTGCCATTTAGCAAAGCAGTTATGAATACAATATTTCTTGATCAGTGTCACCCCTTTCAACATCTCACCCATCCTTCCCCAACCTACCCCTTCCCTCTGTCATCTCTTGCATTATTCAAACTACTGGGACTCCTTACATATAATTACTTTCTGGCCTTGTAAATCTGTATCATCCATCAGTTAATACACTCAAATATTTCAGGTTTTCTGTGTGTCCATGACAAAGACTAAAAGTAGGAATTAGAGGCTGAAGCTAAGAAGTGATGGCACCAAAAAAAAAAAAAAAAGTAAAATAATTTAAAGCTACAAAATACTTGCAGTTTTTAAGAGAATGAAGTACATGAAATGGTTAGAACATGTTACACTGACTAGGTATAATACAAAATTGTCATCATGACAGTAAGAATGTCTACCATCCACAGATGAAAGATGACTCAGAAACTCATTTTTTTAAATGTTAGGAAAAAACATCATGTACATCAGATGCAGGATTGTCATGCCAATGACTTCAAAGGTTTGTTTACCTTTAAAGGTATATTAGACAGATACATAAAACAGCCAGAGTACACAGAAAAAAGTCATACATTAAGTTAAGCCGGGAGCTGGTGGCTCACGCCCATTCTAGCTACTCAGGAGGCTGAGATCTGAGGATCGCGGTTCAAAGCCAGCCCGGGCAGGAGAGACCATGAGACTCCTATCTCCAATAAACCACCAAAAAACCGTAAGTGGCGCTGTAGCTCAAGTGGTAGAGTGCTCTCCTTGAGCTGAAGAGCTGAGGGACAGTGCCTAGGCCCAGAGTTCAAGCCCCATGACCGACCAAAAAAAAAAAAAAAAAAAAAAGTCATACATTAAGTTAGATCACATCTATCAAAATAAAGATCCTATGGACCACTCTGAAAGAAGTATGTTGATACAGAAATTAAGGGCAGCAAACTAGATCATCCTGAGAAATTAAGGGCAGCAAACTAGATCATCCTGATAGTTCATATAAGTCTGAAGCAAATATATCCAGGAGCTTTCTGAAACAGCATGTATGTATTTACTCTTAGAAATCAGTTTCTAAATATTAGGAATATGACCTGAATCTAGATCTTTTAGCTCAAATGGTACAACCTACATATTTTTTCTAAATCCTAATAAATTTATTTTTACTCATGGTTCTTTGGCAATAGTAAGTAAAGTAAGTCTAGTAACTAGTATCTGAAAATACCACAAATCCAATGTTTCCACTGCATAGCTGTCTAGTATCAGTACAAGTACCAAACATTACCTGCTAAGACTACATTTTTAACAAGTGAGTTTCTCTATTACTAAGCAATTTTATGCTTAAATGAAGAATAAAATATTTAAATCATGTAAATGACTTAAATGAATAAATCAATGTCTTTCTATAACATTTTTTCCAAGAGAATAATCTTTCTGACACACACACACGCACACACACACACATGCACACACAAATGCTGTTTTATTCTAAAACAAATTGGCTCTTTATGGCTTATTGCAATACCAAGCTTCCTGGGGTCACATCTGAGGGGTTTCAGATTTGATCTTCCCTTCAGGTACACTTACTTTACCTATCATTAGTATTTAATTTCTTTAATTGTTTAGAAGCTCCATGGAACAACTGCATCTTTTAAATGAAGATAATGTTAATGTAATCTAACACAGAGTAATATGGGGGGAAATGCTCAGAAAGTCATACCATTATTCAAATTCATCACATTTCACTTATTTTTGGCATACTGGCAAATAGGTGATAGAAAAGGAACAGGCTTTAAATTGAAAGAATCTGTTAAAGGTTATTTATATAAAAGTTTCCTGTTTTTTTAAAAAAAATGTAAAAGTATAATTTCTCCCTTCTGAAATTCATAGATGATTTTTAACAACATTCTCAGCTGAGTCCAGTGACAGTGATGCAAAACTAATCCTGCCTCTTTTTATACGTACGTGTGCATGTGTGTGTGTGGGGGGGGGGGGGGTCTTAAACATAAGAGTCTGGGCAGTCTACCACTTAAGCCACAGCTCTACTTTTTGGCTTTTTGGTGGTTAATTGGATATAAGTCTCAAGAACTTTCTTACCAGGCTGACTTGGAACCACAGTTATCAGATCTCAGCTCCTGAATAGCTAGGATTACAGGTGTGAGACAGTAGTGCCCAGCTTTATATGCACCCCTAATTCATCAAATACTTAAGCAAAAAGGACTTAGAACAACAGAGATGAAAAGTAAAATGAATAAAGAAAAATAAAGTGCAAGTCTCACAGTCATAACCTGTTAATATGAACTACAAAAGAAAAATTTTTCAATCTGTAAAATGATCAGAAGCAACACTAGTAACATGACTTTCTAAGATACTAAAAGCAAATATCTCTTGCAGTAATTTTTTAATATTGTTATTTGGATTCACTAAAAGGTAACTTAGATGAAAATTAAGTATGGACTTAACAATACCATCGTAACAACATACCTTATATTGTTTTCCATACATTCACTATCTGATTCTTCAGAACTTCTGTACTTATCTGGATCTGGAAGGGTGCTTGGATCAAATCCAACATCATCATCATCACTCCAATCCAGAAAGGCTTCTTCTTCTTCATCTTTAGCCTTAGAAAATACAAAGAAATTTGTGATTAAAAATTTGTGATTTTAAGTAGTTGTTTTATTAGAGACATAAAAGTCTGATATTCTCAATTAGAATACTTATATTTTGGTGAAGACCTCTGTGACTTTCAGACTTACAAGCATTTGCAAAAGGAAAGAAATATGTATCATTTCAAAAAATAAAATAAGGTAAGATTCAGAAAGGAAATCTCTGGTTTTATGATCACAGTAGTCTAAATCTTAAAAAAAAAAAAAAAAGAGGGAGAGAGAGAGAGAGATCTGCAACAAGCTTATCCACTATGAGCAATCTTCTGAAATCAAATGCAAATACAAAGTCAAGAAGAACCCTGGGAAAAAGGAAAAACAAAGAAAATAGACAACAAATAAAAACAAATAGAATACAAAGGTAATAGAAGTAATAATGCATGGAAGAGAGGTGCATAAAGGCAGGATCTATCTAGTTTCATGTAAGTTAAGTAGATGGGCTACTTTATGTTTCTGTTCTTTAGTAGTTTACTTTTGACAAAGAATAAAGTAATACAACAGCAAATACTACACATCATGTTATAAATCACTTACTGGAAGATTAGTTTGCTGCCTAGTAGATGAACTAAAGTAATGCTACACACATTTAACAAATCTAAGTAAGAAATATAAAAATCTGGGTTTTTCTGGTACCATTTTTATGATTCTTCTCCCAACCAAGTGCGAAGTATTTCAATGATTCTTTGATTTCAGATGATGAATGCTCTTCCTAGAAACTGATTTACAACTCAGAAAACTAGCACAGCCATCAACTACACAGGTCACTACTAAAACAGTTTTTGAACAGCTCTCTCCAGTTAAACTCTAAGCATAATAAAAGAAGGAGGAAGTAAAGAAGCATTAGTCACCACCAGAAAAAAAATCTCCACTGCCTTCCTGAGAAAGCTTCTAGGTAACTACACATTGTCTAGAAACACAGAAGAGGAGGGATGAAAAACTGCCATCAGCAGCAACACAAAGCAGGGGTGAAGTGATTCTCACATTTCTGTCTTGGATGGAAAAGTCCAAACAACATTTGTTAATGTAAAGAGAGTCTACTGACAGGAAATAGTAAAACAAATCATATTAAAACAAAGAATTTTTAAAATAGAACTTGTAAATTTATTTAATAATAACCTCACTATATGTTAACATATAAAACATTTTGTTGAAAAAAATAGCTATCCATGCTAAAACTATAGAAAGATATTGTATATTATTCCAAGCGTTAAATGTCTATCTTAAAAGACAGATAGCTAAACTCTCAAATCTGCTTCTGCATGCCATCTGCTGCAATTGATTGTTCTGCTTGAAATAAAAGAAAATCTAACTCCTCACAGATAAGTAGTTGAGAAAGGGCAAAATAACTATACAGCCTTTTCAGATAACTGCAGTTATTCTTTTTTGATATCCCAACAAACCCTGAGTTAATAGTAAGTTCCTAAAGTTACTGTAACATATAATTTACTAGCACATGGATGGATTTTTAATACTTTTGTTACATTAAAATCTGTTAGTTGTGCAAGTCTTTAATCAGTGAATGATTCTGAGACATAAGGCTACAGTCACTTGGGAAACTCTGGGTGGAATACGGCAGATTCTCCTTCTATGATCTTCATCATATTAACACAATCTTTTTGAAAATCTTAATGGTTAATACTGCATAAAGGCACCAAAAAGACTTTTAACTAAACTTTTGGTAACTGTAAGTAGAATATAAAAAATAGAAAATATATAAATAAATATAAAAGAATATAAATATAATAGAATAGAATATAAACTGTACAGTACTAATTTATATACTTTCATTCTTCAACATCTGGTTAGATTGAATTTAGCACACCTCTAAGATATATTCAGCTGAACTGCATTTGATTGCTCTATATCTTATCGAGGATTCTAGACTCTACAATTATGGAGAACAAGCTCAAAAAAACAAAATCTGTTCTTCCTAATACTCAGCACTATTTGTGTGTATATACATGCGCATACTTATATATGCATATATACACATATATAATGTATGTATACATATACATCTATATTTCTGATATGCAAATATATTTCAGATAGGCAACATATTGCAGTTTTGGCTGGAATCCAAGAAAGTAAGAGGAAATGCAGAATGATGAAATCCATACCCAAGGGGAAGAAGAAGGAAAATCCATACTAAGGCCACTTATAGAATTAGTCCTTCAAAGCTAGTAGTGCTGGGCTGGGAAGGTGGCTCAGTGGTAGAGTGCTTGCCTTGCATGCATGAGGCCCTGGGTTCGATTCCTCAGCACCACGTAAGCAGGGGGGGAAAAAAGCCAGAAGTGGCACTGTGGCTCAAGTGGTAGAGTGCTAGCCTTGAGCTGAAGAGCTGAGGGACAGCGCCCAGGCCCAGAGTTCAGGCCCACAACTAGCCCCCCCCCCAAAAAAAAAGCTAGTAGTGCTTACCCAAATTCTTCTCTGAACATTCCAAAACAATGAAAGCATTTGATTGAAAGAATAAGAAAAGCTATATAAATAATACATGCTGTGAATGTAGTTAAGAGCAATAGGCAAAGGGCTAGCACATGAATATTCAAAGCATCAAAGAACAAATTCCACATTTGGAAGGATCGTCACCATTTAGAATATTAATCTGACAACTGTTTAATGCACTCTGACTTTGGCCTAAAGAATGCAATCTGAAACACAACATGCCAGTGAAGGACTCTGATTCAGCATTTTAATCTTAAGACTTTGAGCCAAATGAAATTTCTCCTAAGACCACCTTTCATAAAATTCATTGTTCTTCCTAAATTGCTCATTTACTTCCTTATTTAAAAATAGAAATATCTCACTGAGCTCTACAGGATATTGATAATACTGGAATTTTATGGCAAGCTATTAAGTAATGGTATATCCCTTACTAGTCATCATTGGTTTGCATCATCTTCTCAAGTACATGAATTAAGAAACTAAATAAATTATAAAAATACAAGTCCAAGTTGGGCTCCAGAAAGGCCTGTAATCCTCGTGAAAAAATCTGAGGACAGTGGTTCGAAGACAGCCCAGGCAGAAAAGTCTGCGAGACTTATCTCCAATTAACCACCAAAAGGCTGGAAATAGAGGTGTAGCTCAAGTGGCAGAGCACTAGCCTTAAGCAGGAAAAGGCTCAGGGACAGCTTCGGCTTCATCTCTCTAATCTGAACACTGATTTCTACTGTTCAAGGTTGTTGAAAATTTTCAGTTTGGTAACCTTGTAGTTCTCAAGGATTCTTCTGCCTTTCTAAATCTAACTCTAATGTAAGCTAGAACATGAAACAAATGTAAATCTTCTCAGAAAGCAGCATGTGTGTATTAGAAAAATACAAAATATTATACACAAAAAGAATATGATTAAAATACAGAAGTAATTTCACAAAGGTTTAAAGGTTAAAAGAATATACCACAGTATTTGAGAAAGATAGATAAAAAATACTTTTAAACCAGATCCTAAATGTTTAGTTTCATAACTGGAATATTACTCAACAATGAAAAGGACTGATCTATGTAACAACATGGATGGATCTACATCCATTCACCTTGCTAAATGAGAGAAGCCAGACCCAAAAGGCTACATATTGTATGCCACTTTACATGAAATTCTGGAAAAGGGAAAGTTTTAAGGACAGGAAACAGATCAGTATTGCTAGGCAGCAAGACAGTAATATTCGAGAGAATGGAGTTATTCTGTATTTTGGGCTGCAATAGATACATGACTCTATGTATGTGTCAAAACCACAAAATAGCCAAGTATCCAGTATGTAAGTTTAAAAGTAAAAGATCTGAAAAGAATATCTTAATGTCATTTTAAAGTATCCACAATTAATTAGTAACTATAAAATGTATAGACTAGGTTCTTCAACCCGTGAAACAACACAAAAGACAGGTGGCATCCACCCACACCGACATGAGGGAAGAGAACCGCCATGACTTGCAATAGGTTACCTGCAGTCTCCCACTACCCAGTCAAGGACTACTGATTGTACAACTGGATTTCTTAGAGCTAAACTAGTATTAAGAGCACATGTTTCTAATTCACAGTTCTGAGGATTGAGGAGATCATCTCTGAAAGCCTCACACAGGACTTAGGTGACACATGCCATTTCTCTCAATTGTTTCAGGATGCTGAGATGCAAAAACATAGGACTACAATCCTGAAAGTAGTATTTCTAAGGGTAAGAATTCCTAGCATTTCAATAATTCATAAAGTAGTCATGGAATGAGTAAAATTATGTATCTCTCTGATAGATGGTTATATTTTCTATCCTGGTCACAACTGTTATATCTTAGGGGGAGAAGAAAAACCATTATGGAGTTAGTTGAGATCTAGCTTTGGAGTAGTAATAAAACACTGACAAGATGGATTGTTAGTCACCTCCATGTTTGGTTTTACAATGTTTTTTTATGGTTTGTTCTACCAATTCATTATTTCTCCAGGTAGGAGCCCAAGACCAATCTCTCTCAGCTACTGAAACTGGCTCTTGTTTGGTAAAATAAACAAATAGCAATTTAAAATCAGAAATGAACTCAGGCTTTGACAAATGCATACAAATTAATCTAGTAAAATGTGAAAAACCATTAACTATGTGGATACAAAAAGACAGAAACATCAAATAAAGGAAAAATATTCCTACATGTTAAATTTATTTTCCAAAGAAATATGCCATATCAGTATCACTGAATTTCAAATATCATTGACTGAACATTTCAAACCAAAAAAAAAAAAAAAAAAACCAACAACATTTTTAGTCAGACCTTATTTCTCCAGGGAACACCCTGATCTTACAGTGAGCTCCTGAACAGAATTACTTCTAGCTGGCTAGTTTTAAGTAAATTATCCTTTTATTATTTTTAGCAACTAAAACAAGTATTTATTTAATTTTATCCCTGAGAAAAATTATAAAGTCTCTCAACATCCAATCATCTAGCTTGCAGAAAGTGACCTATTGTACGTAGCAAATTCTTAA